CTAAATTAAAGGAACACTATAGTCACCAGAACAACTACAGCTTGTTGGATTTGTTCTGGTGAGTAGAATCATTACCTTTAGCTTTTTGCTGTAAACACTGTCTTTTATTTAGAGAAAATGCAGTGTTTACATTACAGCCTAGTGATAACTTCACTGCCCACTCCTTAGATGTCTGTTAGAGATCCTTCCTGGGTCATCGCTGCCTAAAATGCATCCAAACATTCAGTGTCTCCTCCCTCTGCATGCAGACACTGAACTTTCCTCAAAGAGATTCATTGGTTCAATTAATTTCTATGAGGAGATGCTGATTGGCCAGGGCTGTGTTTGAATCATGCTGGCTCTGCCCCTGATCTGCCTCTTTGTCAGTCCTAGCCAATCCTATGGGGAAGCATTGTGATTGGATCAGGCTACCACTTCTCATGATGTCAGCACACTGCTTGTTTTTTTGTTTTTTGTTTTTTGACAAACAGCATGCAGAGTTACAGCTTCAGGCTTGAATACAGTAAGATGTTGCTATATTTATGGCTGCATGAGGGGCCCAGGGGGGCTAGATGGTGGTTTTAACACTATAGGGTCAGGAATACATGTTTGTGTTCCTAACCCTATAGTGATCCTTTCATTGTTTTCAACTTATGTATTTTCATTCATCTTTACTGTATCAGTAGCGTTCTTTATTTTCATATACAGTTAATTTAAGAGATATTTTATTTGCCCAACCAAATGGCTATCTTTGAATTAGCTATGGGTTGTTTTCTGATTCTCTTTAAATACATTTAATTGTATTATTACATCATATGCCAAGCTGTCTTGATACAACCAGGGCATAGAATGGAAATAAATATATTTTTCTCCCATGATGCTTTGTGCATGAAAATCACTCTGGAAGGAAGGATTAAGAGTTTTCTAAAAAGCTGAGTGAGCATGATCAGAGCATCATAAAGCAGTGCTTTTGCTGAATCTCATACCTTAGCTGCCTACTCACTTTAATGGCACTTATAAGGGTGAAGAGCGGAGAGTAGCATTTCATCTATAAGTAAATTAAATGTATAAATAGTGTAGAAGTCAGGTGCAATTCAACGGTATTTGGGTTCAGGCCTCATTTTATAGCTCAGCAACTTAAAGGGACACCATAGTCACCAAAACAACTGTAGCCATAGTCACCAAAACAACTGTAGCTTAATGAATCCAGTATTGTGTACAGGTTATGCCCCTTGGAGTTTCAGTGCTCAATTCACTGCCATTTAGGAGATCATTCACTTTTGTTTCTGTTTTTGCAGCCCTAGCCTCACCTCCCCTGGCTGTGACTGATCGCATGTATGACAAAAACAAAATGGTATAATTTTAAATCAGCTGTAGCATACTTTAAAAGTTTGTATCTCCTGCTCTGTAAATTAAACTTTAATCACATACAGGAACACTTGCAAAAGGGGCAGGTAAGAGATACTGTTTTTTGTGTGTGTTTTTTTAAATATATACTCCCAATGAAAAAGTGCATAATTAAATAGATGCATGTTTTTCATATTGGGTAATGGTGATTTTTTTTTAATGATATTTTTTTTTTTTCAGCCATGAAGTGTCCCTTTAAGACATTGTTAAAGGGACACTATAGTCACCAAAACAACTTCAGTACAATGAAGCCGTTTTGGTGTATAGCTAATTCCTCAAATTTCTGCCATTTAGGAGATTAAACACTTTGTTTATATAGCCCCAGACACACCTCTCTGCATGTGACTTGCACAGCTTTCCTGAGCATTTTCTGTAAAGGGACATCTAATGTTAAAACTCCCTTTAATGCACATTCTGTTTAATATAGAGTTTTGTATCTCCTGCTCTGTTAATAGGCTCCTAGATCTGCAGGAGCCTCTTGCATGTGATTTAAGTTCCATTTACAAAGCAGGATATACAACATTTTAAAATGAGGCAACAACTGATTGGAAATTAAACAATTTAATTTTGAATAGTTTTTTTGTGCAGGATGTGTGAGTCACAGCAAAGGAAGGTGTGGCTAGGGTAGCATGGACAGAAACAAAAGTGATTTAAGAAATGAGCAGTGCGACTGCAGTTGTTTGATGCCTATAGTGTCTCTTTAAGTCTGCTAATATAAGAGCACCTTTTCCATTGACTTTATGGGGAAAATGTTGTCTAATTACAAGAGATCAACTTAAATTATTTAATAGAATGTATCCCCTAGAGTTCTCAGTGAAAGCATGCAAGAATTTTGGTGTTTATGTGAGATAACTATTAGGCAACATATAACATGTTTTATCTATAGCTTTTCCAAATGACGACCACTATAACAGACTTCATATGTTGAACCTATTTTTCTATTAGATGATCAATAAATGGCGTAGAATTGTGACAATGTTGTTTCTGCTGTTAGCCCTAGCTAAGTTGAAGGCACCAGTCTTTGTGCCTGGGGGGAGGCTCTATAATGTGAATCCCGGCCATTTTACGGAATCGAATTAAGGAATGGGCATGGCAAGGTTCACTTTCAATTATTTTACAGTAAGGAAATTGATGTTTTATTATTTCTGTATTAAATCACAGGTATTGGAGGGGATTATTTATGTTCCTATATTATTTACATTTTATTCTTGACCAACAGACTACACTTCAAAAATATTACAACCAGGCAAACGTCTCAAGGGTGTAAATACTCCGTATTCACTTTTCCTATGGTCTGTATGCTAGTTAAGGTTTATTGTATGTAATATGAGCAACAATTAAATTGCGGGATTTTTAAAATTAGCTTTATCTCCTGTATCTTATTTGTGACCTCACTGCTGATGTTGGTTTCTCCTATGTGAATTTAAAATGGTTATAAGCTATAAGGTAAGACAACATCTGCATATTTGTTTCAATTGTATCTCTTCTTGATAAAAAAAAATTAAAAGGTAAATTATCACTTTTAATTCTCCTTTAATGCTATGCCTTGAGAACCCTACAATAAATGCTTTATATTAACAGATTAAACAATGTGCTTATATTCTATTTTGTACATGTTACAAAAAGTTATTGAGTGGAATGGTGGGAAAGCTGATGGTAAGTTCAAAGGCTTTATGAGAAAGTGAAAATAAAAAACGTTTCTGCAGTATGTAAACTATGTGAAAATAAAATATATAACTGGTAACTCCTTGTTTAAAATACATTTTTATACATTCTGATTTTAATTCATCCTAATGTATTCATTTACTTTGTGAATTACTCGATTGTAAGGTCTTTTCTTGTGTTGATATGTTTATTTTATTTTAACTTGACGTTCAGGTAAAACTTACATTTGTTCTGAGGGTGCAGTAGGTGTCAGTAGATGTTTCTGCAACTCTACATAGAAATCATGAAATCACAAAAAAAACTAAACAGTTTTTTCATTAAACGGATTTTCTTCATCTGTCAGCCTTTTCTGTTTTTTTTGTTCTTACTTATTGGTCAAAAGCTGTTAAAGGCAAATAAATGTGGTTTATTTTCTTCTTGTTTACATTTTGTTCCTTTAATTCTAATTTCAATCTATCTAGTTTATGTGTGTGTGAATAATGCATGATAAATTATACATGTGTATGTAGTACGCAGCAGTCTGTAGTGGCTATGGTGCCAGGAGTGCCCCCTAATGTAAGTAGTCAAACTCTTTTCTCTGATACGCAGGGGGCAAGACACCACTCCCTGCCTCTCAGAAAACCAGGATCTCTCTGCCTGAGCAAAGCCTGGTAGAACATGGTATATCTCAGAATAGCAAGTGGAAGAATGGCGTAGCTCAGTCTGTTAAACAATTAGAAACTCCTAGTAGGACTTCAATTCAATATAATAAGTCAAACTCAGTGAACAGTAGGGCTTATGGTGCTTGAAGTATTCATTTAAATAAGGAGAGAGAAAAAAAAAAACAAAGCTTCCATTATAATGTACAGTTGTAATTAAAATTATTCAACCACCATTGAAAATCAGGTTTGTTGTCAAAATTTACAGACTTTCAGCTGCTTGCAATAAACAAATCAAACAAAGTGAATTTAAATAGCTCAACACTACAGATGCTTAAAGTGGTTTACCCAAATTTAACTGAAAATGCAACTTATAATGACTTCTTGTCATGCTCACTCACGTTTCTGGGCGTTCTCCTGCTTCCAGTCTCCACTCCAGCGGCTCCAACGCCGGCTGCTGTAGCTCCGTCCCCTTTTATGACCAGGCGTGCACGCCGACGTCAAGACGCTAATGCATGCGTGCCATCGCTAATGAAGTCACGGCCCGCCAACACGTTCAAACTTGGACATTTTGGGGGCGTGGCTTCAAATTTAAAGATCCAGCCTATAAAAGGTAGATTCAACCATAATTTGTTGCCCTTTTGTGGTTCTACTCACTGTTCCCAATAGTGCTTTGCTTTTCAGTGTGTTCTTATGTCTTGACCTCGGCTTTCTGACTATTCTCATTTCTGTATTCCTGACCCGGTATCTCGCAATCTGTGTTTTCTGGTTCCCTTGACTCTGCTTGTATTCCTCAATTCCGTGATTTCTGGTTCCCTTGACCTTAGCTTGTCCCTGACCATTCTTTATCTGTCTGGTGTTAAGTCCGGCCATTCTAATACCCGGTATATGCTTTTCTATTGCATCCTGCGTGTTGGGTCTCCAAGGAATCCTGACATTACAACATCTGCAGGTGTAAGCCTCATGAGAATTACCTATGAGGATAGGTTTGTGGAGATGAATCATCACATGGACCAAATGGCCCTTGCGTTACAGACCTTATTTACATGTTCAGCAGGCCAACAAGGAGAAACCCAGGCACCTGTAGCTAACACTGTATCCACAGGTATGGAAGTGATACCTTATGGGACAACCTCACATCACCTCTCCTTTACTCCATGGTGGAGCTCCTGAAGCTTGTTGTGAGTTTCTCAACCAGATCAGTATCCATTTCGAGCTATATCCCAGGGCATACCCCACGGATAGAGCCAAAATTGGATTCATTATAACTCTCTTAATTGATACGGCGTTGATCTGGGCTAATTCGGTCAGGGAACATGAAGATTCCCTGGTGTATAATTATGTAGCCTTTATGGAGGTATTTCGTAGAACCTTTGACCCTCCTGGTAGGAAGGCAAATGCTGCTTGGACTCTTTTACGTCTTAGACAAGGGAACAAGGCATTAGTGGAATACGCTCTTGAATTCAGGTCCCCAGCAACAGAGGTCAGATGGAATAACCAGGCCTTTGTTGATGTATTCCTTAATGGCCTTTCAGAAACCATTCTGGCTGTGGTCACGACTAGAGAGTTACCAGAAAACCCGATATCTTATCTTTTTGGTATAGATGAACGTCCTCGGTTTAGACAGAACACCAGAGATAGACCAAAAAGAGCGCAGATCCAGTTAGCACCCTCCTTTAATATAGCAGATTCTATGGCCCTGGCTTAACCAGAACCAATGCAAGTAGGTACAACCAGATTAATCGAGGCAGAAAAGCAATACCGCAGAAGAGAGGGGTTGTGTTTGTATTGTGGTAGCAGGCCGGAAAACCTCCACACCTAAGTCCCTCTGGAGGACAGGTCTTGGGTGTTTCCACCATGTCCTCCATACAAATGCATAATAAACATAGGGTTCTGATTCCCATCACCTTGACCTGGGAAGGAATTGTGATACAAACCGTAGCTTTAGTGGACTCTGGGGCCGCTGAGAGCTTCATAGATGTTGCCTTTGCTAACCAACAGTCTTTTCCTATATGGTCAAGAGATACACCCTTGGCCATTGAGGCCAGAGATGGTAGACCACTACTAAGACCTATGATTACTCATGAAACATTACCCATACAAATGCAAGTTGGTTTGTTTCATAAAGAATCTAATGTACTTCAGAGTATCTCATCCCCTGTATTTACTGTTGTGCTAGGGTACCCTTGGTTAAGACTGCATAACCCTTCGATTGATTGGGAAAATGGAGAGATTATATCTTGGAGTGACAAATGTATTCAGAAATGCGTCTCTGCAACTAGACCTATATTTCTGATTAATGCTCCGACTATGTCACCATTATCTACTGACATAATTACCCCTTATCTTAGTGTTAAGGAGGCATTTGCTAAAAACAAGGCTGTCGCTTCTTCCGCATAGGACCTATGATTATCCTATAGATCTTTTACCTGGAACTATGCCTCGAGTGGTCTCTATACAGCGGTTTATAGGCTTCTCTAATTACTACAGAAAATTTATCAAAGGTTTTACCTCCATGGTAGCGCCTATAACCGCTATGACTAAGAAGAAAAATAATCCCAAATTCTGGAAACCAGAGGCGATGGAAGCATTTGAGGACTTGAAATCCTCTTTTGCCTCTGCTCCCATTCTGGTTCATCCTGATCCGACCCTTCCTTATCTACTAGAGGTAGATGCTTCCGAAACTGGCATAGGAGCAGTACTATCTCAAAGGAAGGGACAGAATCAGCCATTACATCCTTCTGTTTTTAATCTTAAAAGTTTACAGATACCGAAAGGAGATAGGACATTGGAGATAGGGAGCTGTTGGTTATCATCCTAGCTTTAAAAAAATGGAGACATCTGCTAGAAGGTACTGCTATTCCTATAACAATCCTGACCGATTATAAGAACCTTGCTTACCTGGGAGAAGCCCGAAGATTGTCAGCAAGGCAGGCTCGATGGTCCCTTTTCTTGGCACGATTAAGTTTTAAAGTATAGACCAGGGTCTAAAAATACCAAGGCTGATGCCCTCTCACGCCAATATGAACCTCAAAGCAGTCCTCCTACAGACATATCTACGGTGGTGCCAAACTCACAGTGCTTAGAATTAATTCCTATCTTATTGACAACATATCCACTAAACAAGATCAAGCGCCTGAATCAACTCCTGTTGATAATATATTTGTTCCTCCAAGTATAGAGCACCCATACATACCCATCATCACGACTGTAAAACAGCGGGTCATCCGGGTATTAAAAAGATATACTCTCTCATAATCACCAAGTTTTGGTGGCCTTCTTTGAGAACAGATGTCAAAGAGTACGTAACAGCATGTGACATCTGTTCTAGAAATAAACAACCCCACACTCTCCGTTGTGGGTTATTACAACCACTTAAAGGGACACTATAGTCACCTTAGCTTAATGAAGCAGTTTTGGTGTATAGAACATGCCCCAGCAACCTCACTGCTCAATCCTCTGCCATTTAGGAGTTAGATCCCTTTGTTTATGAACCCTAGTCACACCTTCCTGCATGTGACTTGCACAGCCTTCCATAAACACTTCCTGTAAAGAGAGCCCTATTTAGGCTTTCTTTATTGCAAGTTCTGTTTAAGATTTTCTTATCCCCTGCTATGTTAATAGCTTGCTAGACCCTGCAAGAGCCTCCTGTATGTGCTTAAAGTTCAATTTAGAGATTGAGATACAATTATTTAAGGTAAATTACATCTGTTTGAAAGTGAAACCAGTTTTTTTTTTCATGCAGGCTCTGTCAATCATAGGCAGGGTAGGTGTGGCTAGGGCTGCATAAACAGAAAAACTGATTTAACTCCTAAATGGCAGTGAATTGAGCAGTGAAATTGCAGGGGAATGATCTATACACTAAAACTGCTTTATTTAGCTGAAGTAATTTAGGTGACTATAGTGTTCCTTTAACATACCAGACAAACCATGGAAATGCGTATCTATAGACTTTGTCGAACTACCATTTTCCAAAGTTAAAACAGTTATATTGACAGTAGTAGACCGGTTCTCTAAGATGGCACACTTTATACCGTTGCCAAAGCTACCTTCTTCACCAGAATTGGCCAATATATTCTTCAGAAAAATCTTTCACCTGCATGGTATACCGATGGAAATAATATCAGATAGGGGCACACAATTCGTTTCTCGGCTTTTTGTGCTCAAATGGGAAATTAATTATGCTTTTCATCTGCTTATCACCCACAATCCAATGGGGCAGCAAAACACACAAATGAAATGCCAGAACAGTATTTAAGATGCTTTGTATAGGAACATCAGGATAACTGGGTTGATTTGATTCCCTGGGCTGAATTCGCTCATAACAATTTGGGCAGTGAGACCACTCATTTCAGTTCTCTTTATCTCAATTATGGTTTCAATACCCTGGTCCTTCCTTCTGCGCTCCATTCTCAGGGTTTGCTGTCTGTTGACCTCCACGTTGACAACCAGAGACATACTTATGAACAAGCTCAACTCATCCTCGCTACTACCCAACATTCATTGACGTTCCAGGCTGACAAGCATAGACGTGCTACTCCAGTGTATCAACCGGGGGATTGACGTTCCAGGCTGACAAGCATAGACGTGCTACTCCAGTGTATCAACCGGGGGATAGGGTCTGGTTGAGTACAAGACACATCTGTCTCAAGGTGCCAACCATGAAGTTCGCTCCCAGGTACATTGATCCTTATAAAGTCATTAGGTGGGTCAATCCTGTGGCTTCTCCCCGCCTTCTCTGTGCATTCCCCATACTTTCCATGTGTCCCTTCTTAAACCTTTGGTCTATAACCGTTTTACCAGTGAGATCGTTCCTCCTTCCCCTGTTCAAGTCGATGATCAGGAGAAGAATGAAGTAGGGTCCATTTTGGATTCTCGCATGTCCCGTGGTAGTCTCCAGTATCTGTTTGATTGGAAGCGGTACGGTCCAGAAGAACAGTCTTGGGTCAAGTCCTCTGACGCTGCTTGTCTTCTGAGGTAATTTCACACCCGTTTTCACTCACGTCCAGGTCCTTCCCATCCGGTGGGCGGTTCTAGTGAGGGGGGTTTTGTCATGCTCACATTACTGGCCATTCTCCTGCTTCCAGTCTCCACTCCAGCATTTACAACGCCGGCCGCAGTTACCTCGCCCCCTTTTTTGATGCGGTGCGTGCCCGCCGACGTCATGATGCTAATGACGCCACGGCCCGCCAAAACGTTCAAACTTGGATGTTTGGGGGCGTGGCTTCACATTTTTAGAGATCCAGCCTATAAAAGGCAGATTCAACCATAGTTCTTTGCCCTGTTGTATTTCTACTCACAGCTCCCAATAGTGCTTCGCTTTTCAGTGTGTTCTTGTGTCTTGACCTCGGCTTTCTGACTATTCTCATTTCTGTATTCCTGACTCAGCTTTGGTAATCTCGCAATCAGTTTTTTCTGGTTCCCTTGACCTTGGCTTGTCCCCGATCATTCTTTATCGGTCTGGCATTAAGTCCGGCCATTCTAAGGCCCACTATACGCTTTTCTATTACATCCTGCGTGTTGGGTCTCTAAGGAATCCTGACACTTCTCCAGTCTCAAAATTATTCAACCCCTTCATGGCAAACATCTTTAAAACTTAGAAGAGCACCCTTTTGCTGTTATGAGAAGCATAGCCAGTCACCAACTTCTGACAGCTTTCCTGAGGAATATTAGCCAATTGCTTATAAGAAATTGCCTCAAGTTCAGTAGTATTCTTGGGTTGTGTGCGGCAACCACCTTCTTCAAATCCCACCAGAGATTTTCTGTTGGGTTCAAGTGACTCTGATGGCCACTGTAGAATTTTCCAGGACTTTTACTGCAACCAAGGCTTGATGGAATTTGAGGTATGCTTGGGATAATTGCCTTGTTGGAAGGTCACAGTCGGCATGATATTTTCTCTTACGATTTCCTGATACTTAAAGTAATCCATCTTGCCTTCCATATGCTGCAGGTTTCCAGTGCCAGAGGATGCGAGCAGCCTCAGAGCATCACAGAGCCACCACCATGCTTAACGGTAAGCAGTGTGTTCTTTTTCAGTATATGCTTCATTCTTCTTCCTCCAGATATACTGCTGATCTATTGGGCCAAAAAGTTCCAGTTTTGTTTTATCTCTTCACAAAACAGAACCCCAAAGCTTATGCTGCCTGTTTATATAATTTTGGGCATATTGGAGCTGACTTTGCTTTTGAGTCAGTAGTGGTGTACATCTAGATTTCTGGCATGTGAACCTTCTGCGTTTAGTATGCACCTTACTGTACTCCGTAATATATTTATTGCAGTGTGGTTGTGGTGCACAATATATAGACTGTACTATTTGCAAACTGCGTGTGAGACTTACAGAACACTTTTACAATATAATTTTTTTTTTTTTTTAAAGCAGATAACAGTGTGCCAAGACATTGTGCCATTTGTCCACAATTCCAATTGAGTACTTTTCTGGCCTTTGGAATAGATAAAGTAGAGAGACACTGGAGAGGGGGGAATATTGAGACTTTGTTCAATAAGAAAGAAGCCCAGTGGATCTTTAATCTAAAGACCTATAAGTATGGTCTTAACCAGGACTTATTTAGTAAATTATATGATTTTAGATAGGACCTATATAGTCCAACTATTTTAGTTTTTCCTTTATTCACTCTTCCTTCCCTTTAAGAATCGTTTGGGTTATTCATATTTAGTGTGATACTAATACCAATTTTTTGAGTTGCAGAAATATTAACTTCACATTGAATAAGGATTCCTATTTATATGTCCACATATGTTTCATACATTTCTTGGTTTTATATATTTGGTTTATTCTTTTCTATTTTATCTCATGTATATTTTTATACATTTTTTAAATTTGCTTTTCATATAATTTTGTAAAAGGCTCAATATGACAGTCATGTACTACATAAATAATATGTATATATTTGTTTATATATAATTATTTCATTTATTAGATTTATTATATATATTTTTTTTCACTTTTTCCTTAATATAGCTCACACCAGTACATGACTTATATGTTCTCCCTTATAAGCATAATTATACTGTATTGTTTTTATAAGGATAACATGTATATCATGAAAAACTTCATTTCCCATGATGCCTTCTATTCCTGAAATGATTTTGGCATATATGTTTTGTAATGCCATCAAAGTACACGGAAGTGCTATATGCGTTCCACAGTGGAACGCACGCCATCAGTTGCAGCGAGTTTAATGCTGAATAACAAATGTATAAGAAGAACTCGACAGATCACTACTCCATAACCCTGAGGAAGTCCAGAACAGGACGACATGCGTAGGTCTTTGTATCAACTTGTTGATTTTTATTTCTGTTTGTTTTTATTTGCACCTGTGATCCTGTGATCTTTTCTGCTACCTGTTGGAAACCTGGATACCACCTTGGTGTGGAGATATGCTGTTTGTCATCTGACATTTTGTAAGTGCAACTTGTAATAATAAATGTTACTTTTATACAATCTGCACTATCCTTTTTTTTTCTTTATATTTTGAGCTACCTAAGAAGATACACTTATACCAAGATTTCTGTGTCTGGAAGACCCTTCTTATCAACAAATTTACCCCATTATTGAGGGAGACATGCCTGAATTTTCTATGATCTAATATACAGTGTTTATGGTATACAGTGTTTATGGTATATTCTACCAATTACTATACAGCAAGCATGTCAAACTTGCGGCCCACAATGGACATCTTTGTGGCCCGGCAAGGTGCAAGTTCATGCCGTGTTGTTAAAGGACCACTATAGTGCCAGGAAAACATACTCGTTTTCCTGGCACTATAGTGCCCTGAGGGTGCCCCCACCCTCAGGGACCCCCTCCCGCCGGGCTCTGGAGAGAGGAAGGGGTTAAACACTTACCTTTCTCCAGCGCCGGGCGGGGAGCTGTACTCCTCCTCTCCTCCTTGCTCGCGGCGTCATCGGCTGAATGCGCACGCGCATTCAGCCGGTCGCATAGGAAAGCATTTACAATGCTTTCCTATGGACGCTTGCGTGCTCTCACTGTGATTTTTCACAGTGAGAAGCACGCAAGCGCCTCTAGCGGCTGTCAGACAGCCACTAGAGGCTCTGGAGGCTGGATTAACCCTCAGTATAAACATAGCAGTTTCTCTGAAACTGCTATGTTTATAAAAAAAAAAAAAGGGTTAATCCTAGAGGTACCTGGCACCCAGACCACTTCATAAAGCTGAAGTGGTCTGGGTGCCTAGAGTGGTCCTTTGAAGCAGAGTAGGCACCTGCTTTCCCCACATTGCAGGTGCCTATTCTGCTAAACTTGGCCGGCCCGGGAGGTGGGCCAGCGAGGGAGCTCAGGGTTCCTGCTCCTCACTGCTCCCTTGCGCGAGCCATCAGTAGTGAAGCTGGGCGCGAGAATATGACACCATTCCAGCCCGGCATCAATAAACTGTGCGCGAGGGAGCAGTAAGGAGCAGATAGAAGATCCCCAGGGAGAGGCCCCACATCGGCTCCCAAAGGTAGGGAGCAATAAAGAAAATGTGTGTGTCTGTCCATGAGTGTGTGTGTCTGCCTGACAGCGAGTGTCTTTGAGTGTCTATCAGTGTGTGTTGGTCAGTGTTGCATTGGATGTGACTGGACAATGGAATACCTGGAGGTGCATGGAGGCATGCAACACCACGTCACATTCCGACGTGACATCGACTTGCTCCACCTTCACAGGGTTTCAAGAAGTAGTGGGAGGATCAGTTTGGCACAGGGTGCGGACGGCGCCATTTGGGGTATACCAGAGGCCGGACTCCGGAGTAGCATACTGGCAGCGGCAATGTTTATTAGATCTGAAACTAGGTGTGCCAGGAACAAATTAAATTGTAAAATTATATACAAAGTGTAATAAATGGTCTGTCACAACAAAGTGAATTAAAAATGAATTGTATGATTTACCTGAAGTCACAACAAAGTGAATTAAAACCAAATATGCTTTAATGCTTAAAAGAAATAAAACATAAATGTTACATTACACAACGCGTTTCACCAATAAGGCTTTTTCAAGTTTACACTTCAAGTTTACCCAGGAAGCACCTCTAGTAGCCATCTGAGGAGTGGCCATTGGAGTTATCCCTAAGCTGTAATGTAAACACTGCATTTTTCCTGAAAAGACAGTGTTTACAGCAAAAATCCTGAAGGGAATGATTCTACTCACCAGAACAAATACAATAAGCTATAATTGTTCTGGTGACTATAGTGTCCCTTTAAATAGATGATTATTTTCTGGAGTTTAAAAAAAATCTGAAAAATCAGTTATGATGAAGTTATAGATCCTAAAACATTTAAAATAATAATTTTTAAGATGTTTTGTATGTAACATTTTGCAAACTCCCTGAGATCTGAATATACAACATTCCCTGTGCTGTTACTTTGCATTAAGAGGTTGTAATTTTTCATCATCTGAATTGTCCAATTTTTCATATAACCCTTTGCATGCTGGCAATTGTGTAGCCATTTTCTCCCACAAGGAACGTGCAAAAGCTTACTGCATTGATTGAATAACCTAGTTATCCCAAATCCCCTTTACAAATATTGGTTGTCATCTATTGCATCCCAGCATTCATACTTATAAAGTCCATGCATGCCACGTTCTATTTTATGATGATTTATTAATATAAGATTAGATTGCATTTCTATGAATAGCCCCAAGAGTTTCTTGGAAAGTGACTGTGCAGATTCCAGAGAACACTGGCTGAGCCTTCTTTTACTGAAATATACAGATGAGGAGATATACCCTTCATGCAAATGTGACAAACCAACATCTCGAGTGACAAGCCAGTTCTCAATGGCCTAATCTTTGCCTTAGATATGTTAAATACCCACAATGCTAAAGATGGAATTGTTGGTTTTGTGTTTGGCATGAGATGTAACCATTATAGTCTGCTTGGAAAGGATACAATTAAACAAATCAAAGCCAAATGACCCCAATATATACAGATGTTTTTAATCCTGATAATCTTTTTTTTTTTTCTTTTAGCAAAAAAGACTTAGCTTATAAATGAATTGTATGATTTACCTGAAGTTTAGGCTATACAGGAACTAATAATAGGAACTAATAAGATGAACATTGCTAACAGATTAATTTGAGCTGGCAGGATATAGAAATTGGGGATTCAATTACAATTTTTCCTGTGCTCATCTTAACTTCAGCTTGTGTCTCAAGGAATTGTGAAGCCTTGTTGGCCTCAACGATGTTTCTCAATTAAGGATCTGGATAGTATGACTAAGGAATCCAGCTTAGGACATTGCCCATAGTTTGTTGCTCTGAACCTGCAGGACAACAAGGATAACTAATGATACTTAAATGTTTCAAGTCAAAAATTCAGCTATAAAATGCAGAATGTAACTTGGCATGCATTAAACCCTTAAAGGAATAGTCTGGGAGCCAACATAACTTAAGTGCATTCCCTCTAACTCAATTAGCCATGTATTTCCTTTTTGACAAGACATCCACCTGACTGGAACGTATCGGTATAGCTCAGCCAATGAGAGATCAATGTATGCTGAGCTGCTGCCTTTACAAAGTCCACACAGCTAATCACTGGGAATAGGACAATTATTCCTATTATCTGTTAGGTAATTCAAATTCAGGGAAAGGGAAAAAAATAATACGATGGTAATTGGTTATGGGATGGAGTGAAAGTAATGGAGGTGCAATAAGGTTAGTTTATAAAAGTTCAAATTTCTATTGATATCTGCACTTTTTGTAAAATGAAAAAAAAAAAGTACACATAAAGTGGTTCAGCAAGCTAAAGTGCTTTATAGGTCTGGAGTGTCCCTTTAGATTATGTTGGTGTCTGAAGTATGCCTGAAGTGTCAGTTTAAATACCTTCCTGAATACTGTTGCTTACTCTGTGCATCCTCTTATGTAGTCCAATGACCTCTAGAGACACTACAGGCCTTAACCTGATCATCATGAAGAGTGAATACAGATACAGATACCCATGTCCTCTACATGGACAACATCTCACTCACTGTTGGCATATAGCTTGATATCGACTCATTTATCCAACTAATTAGGATTTTCTTATAGCAAGGACATCGGAATCTGATTCATACTAGAAAAGTGTGGTCAGATGATCAGAACTGAAGGAGCTGAAGTGCCAGAAGACCAAATAAAAGATGTAGAGCACAGCAACAAGTACCTTGAGGTACAACATACACAGGGCAACCATGAGGAAGAGGCAAGGAGGAGAGCAACAACCAATTATCTCAAGAGATTAAGACAGGTCTTGAAGTCCCACCTAATGGCAAGAACAATATCAAAGCCATCAACACCTATGCCCTATTAGTCATCAGGTACCCAGCTGGAATAATAACCTAGCCAAGGTAGGTGCTGGAAACCATGAAAAACAAAACTTGGAAGCTACTCCCGATGAATGGAGGATTCCACCCACAATCCAGAATGCAGAGATTGGGCACCAGCTGGAAGGCAGAAGGTTGAACCTAAAGAATGTGAACCTAAAGAAATACAAAGCATTCACAAGTACAATACAAAGATGTACAAATTAAACAAAACCCAAATAAAATGGGATATGGGTGCAAATGCAACTACCCCCAGTGTCCTTAACCACTCATAAATAATTAAATAAATAAGGGAGGGGAGTGCAAATTGTAAACACACAGCGAGTTATACCCAGTTTTCATAAAGTACATCTTTTGATCAATCTGTGAAAAAAATATAAAAGGTAGCATAGCATAATAGTGTTTTTAAATAACCAGATTAATAACAGAGGCAATGGGTCACTCACAATCTCCAGAGCCATGTTTAGGCTTTGGCTATGATGGTTTTAGGTAATATAGTTCCTTAGGTAATCAGCCCCACTTCTGGTCCACTCGTTCCCCTTGGAATCAATGAGGAGTCTTCCAGTATTAAGAATAATGTACTTCAATTTAAATAAATTATAAATGAGCAACAAATTAAAAATAAACACGAATCAAGAGTGAAGGGGGCCTGACTGCCGACCAAGTCGGACGCATGGTGCTGGAGCTCCCCAGGGGAAACTTAATCTTGGGCCTAAAGTTGGACTCTTACAGCTCAATTGTTGGCCACCTCTTGTCTCTACGCTGGCCAACTATTAGGCTTAATCCTACTCACAACCGGCGGATACAGCGACTGGCAGACGCACCTGCAGCCTGAAGTTCTACTTGAGGGAGGGGAGGCGGCCGATTCCTGACCTTGACCTGTGCCTGCTGGCTTAGAGCCCTGTTCCCCCACCTGGACCGGTGTGGGTTATCCTGGTCCCCATTGGTGTCTAGCTACAACTTTCCTGCCAAGCCCTGCAACTTTCTGGCAACTCACAGGCAAACCACAGCACTAAGGCCTAGCATCTAAAATGGATCGCATTTGCGACCAGTTCTGGGTGAGAATCGT